ACAAATGTGCGTGACGATATTTTATTGCTTTAGAAATGTGATTTAAAAATGTATATTGAATCACGCACTGAGTATTCAATATATTTTCACGACAGGTTGGGCAAAATACATATAGGCCCCCTAATTGATTCTCCTGACGCAAATCCACGTATTGTATATCGTCACGAAAATAACATTTTACCATTCAATAATAGAACAGTCATCGACCTACTTGCAGTGAATTGAATCTAAAATGTATGCATGATGGTATCATGATCTGAAGTGTTTAAAAACGTACACAATAATAGTTCAACCAACTTTAATACCACAAACACAAATGTGCGTGACGATATTTTTATGCTTTAGAAATGTGATTTCAAAAAAAGTAGTGCATCGTATACGGAAGGGCTTGTTTTGTTGTTGTTTTTTTACTTGCAGCGTTTGGGAAATAGGTAATAGGTAAATTGTAATGAATATAATCAATAATATATATCTACAACAATTATTATTGAATGGTCCTTTTAAAGTTTAAATAGGATTTTTTAAAAGTTATATTTTTAGATCATTAGACCTATTGAACGAGCCCCCAGTAGCCCCGGGCCCCAGTGCTGTGCACTGACTGCACTGTCCATACCTACGCCACTGGACCTAAGTAGTATTAGTGGTTACATAACGTTTGCTATGCACTGTATTATGTGCGCTATAGAAGTGGAAGAACATAATGTATTGGAAATATATCTCTCTCTCTCTGGTAGGGCCTACAGTACAATCAGTTTAAAAGTGTACTGTATAGGATAGTGGGGATTTAAACATTTTCCTAATGGTAATGTTCAAAATAAGTGTCAAGGAAAGTAAGTATGATTGTTGGAAAACAATGGTTAACATTTTATTTTGAATTCTCACCCTGACCTTCGCCTTGGCGCAGTGGGCGAAGGTCTGGATCCGCGTATAGTTAGCTTGAATTTTGTAAGCCAGGACCCATAGTATTTTGTTACGTTTCTTCACAGAGTGGGGTTCGTCCGAACCCCCTGAACCCGCCACTGTAGTGTGCTAACAGTTAATATAGCTTTTAACGATGCGAAGCGAAGACAAAGTCCCCCAATTTGGTGATTAAATCGGCAATGCCCTGAGAAAACTTCAAGCAACAAATTGAAATGCTTAAATAAGAAAGTGCATGTTTTACTAGAGTGCACGAAGCACACACACATGACGAGTGACCATTATTTTTTGTTCACGGTAAACAAAGGGGGGTGACTAGCCACCCTATTCACCACCACCACCCACCCCCCCCCCCTCTAGATCAGCCACTGATTGGGTTTTTGTATTTAAAAAAAGCAAACTATATTTGTAATTGAATTATATAATTTTGTAATTGTATTTGTAGATTTACGATTTAGGCCTATATTTGTAAATGGGAGTAACTTTAATTGTGTAATTGTTAATCACCATAGGAATTTAAATTATTTTTACGTATGTAGGTGTGTCAGAAGGTGCACAAATGAATGGTGTAGTAGTGTGAGACAGGGGCGGTTTTGCCACTATTTTAAAAATGTCAATGCATATTGATGTTATGTGCTACTCATTTATCTATTCTGGAACTGTTGTGTACCCCCTCCCCCTTTGAAAAATTTTGGATCCGCCCCTGTGACAAGTATCAACAGTACAGTAATAATGACATCATACCAATTTTCTTCTGAAGTTCAAAACCCACTGTTTTTTTTAAAACTTGTGGAAAGGATAACATTGACTAAGTTAGTATAATTTAAGATATATAATTATTTTTTATGAATGTGGGTATGTTTGTTTGTTTATTTATTTATTTACTCTAAGATAGAGATGGCAGTCTATAAAGGAAATTCCTATTCCCAATAAGATTCACTTACCATATACATTCAGAACAAATACAACTTTATTATTTGTTAACCTAAAAATCCATTAAATACGACTTGCTATACATAAGGCTATAGGCGTCTTCCCTGTCTTCCCCGGAACCGACTGGGCTTTCCCTTGCCTCCCAGGCAAAGCTTGAGCAAATTGAGTTGTTGTTCGCACAAGTGGATCTTCTTCCGCTCGAAAAAAAATCCGCTCGAATTCGCTCGAATTGGCCTTCGCTCGAAGTGGCATCCGCTCGAATTGACTGGTTCCCAGGCTGGGACAAGAAAGGTTGTTGTTTGTTGTTATTTCGCAATTCGCGACGTCATCAACGTGTACAATACATTCAATCCCGTAACATGATTGGTCTATTTTTTTATAATTTGCATAATGAATTTTTCCAACAATTTTGTCTATTTAAAAAAAAGTGTGTAAGTTATGGAGATGGTAGCAATCATAAATCGATTATAAATTTAATTATACATTTGTAGACAAAAAATATACCCTCTTGGCCCACGGCCCATTTTTTTGACACCATGACCCTGCGTAATATTAACCTGCAGTGTATATATACGAAGAATTTTTTCTAGTAAGATTAGAGTTGACTAACTGGTACTTGGTGTGGTACTAGGTTTATCGCATTTATGGTTTAGGGGCCGCGGTTTACTTCCCTCCGTTTAGTCATGCTGGATCAGGAGTAGTAAACTCGGGGTCTGGGTTCGATTCCCACACGGGGCAAGTTTGTTTTTTTATCTTTTTTATATATTTTTTGAAGGTCGTGGGTTCGATTCCCACACGAACCAATTTTTTTTTTTTTTTTTTTTTTTTT